GTTCGTAACTATATATATTTTCCCCAAATTGCTCTAGTTTCTCTTTTTTTTCCTACCGCGTACAGTAGAGAAAATGCATCTTGTGTGTAGTATTTAATTATTATATATTCTTTCATTCAAAACCTGCCGTACATGTCAACACAACATTTGACTATCCTTCAGGTCAAGTAAATTGCCACGATCCTGGTCTGAATCTGTCTGTGTTTGTGTTTAAAAGTGGTCATGTTGAAGACCATGTTTGGGTAATGTACTAATATCTAACTATGATTTTGACTTTATTTTTTTAACTTCTGCAAATGATATGCGATCTGTATGTGCTTTGTAATCAACAGTATGAATGGGGAAATTAAGCGGTGTGTCAGGCAGCTGCTTCAGATGCCACAGGAGGGGAGGAGTCAAAGAGAAACTCAAGATATGTTGAAGTAAACGTCCTACTGAGGATGTTAGGTTCACAACATCAGTTGCCAGAGTTACTGATTTAGGGTTTATCTGATCTCGATCTCTGAAACACAAAAACCCAGTTTCCCTCATCTCAGGCTTAACATACTCAGAAATCTAATCCCGCTTTCTGAAATGGGGACCCAGTCTATAACCCTGCCTGAAAACTTCCCTGTTTTTGTTCCTGGATCTTTGCTGTACTTTTGCCCTTTCTGGATTTTGTTTCCTTATGGATATGTTTGGCCACTCTTCTCTGTAAGTGTGCTCTCCTTTAGTTAATAAATCATAGAACTGAAACTGCTCTGCTCCTGTGTCTTGCGTTTGGGTCCTCAACCTGTTTACACACAAGACTAACCGTGACATAAATACAGTATGCAAATACTGCTATATAGCAAGGAACACTTGAATGATTCATATGTGTGCTAAATGGATACAATCCCAGTAGTTCAATTATAAGTACTATTTAAAACAGTTTCTGAGATTTTAGGAAGACATGGTCCCCCTTGAGCTAATATTTGAAGATCTACATTAAGTTGTCAGTTTAGTACACCTAACTAAAACAATTGCAGTCTAATAGTCCTGTAATGAATTCTACCTACATGAAGGTTATAATGTTCTGTTTTTATATAAACTGCTTTAGGGAGCTGTTTATTCAACTTTACCCCATTTATATTGATGAAGGTGGGCTAAATAACATAACACCACTGTATTGGGCTGCATTGGGTTTAGCTAAGTGTACTTAATAAACTGGCAACTGAGTGCAGCTGGTACTACACATTCTACTGTAGAAGTCAAGGGGAAATCTCAGCGTACAGTCTTGATGGGACTCAATGGAAATAAGTCTGTGATAGTGATCTTACTCGTTGAAGAGTTTGTCAGCACCCAGCTCCATTAGTATGTTTGCAAATCTGACTGCAGCGGGGTCCTGGGACGAGTCCACCTCGTCTTCTTCTGATTCGTCTTCACCCATCTCAGTTGTGTCCTCCAGCCCCACCAAATCACCTACACCAGAGAGGATTGTGGATGACTTCTTTTTTATGGACGCACAGTAACGTTACCCATAACGTCACTCACCAAGTCCTTTGTTGAACTCAGCAGGAGTGAGGAATCCATTGCTCTGTCGGTCCAGACTCTCAAACACTGTCTCCAGCTGTTCAGGGGAAAGCGGCAACTCCCCTTGTAGCCTCTGACCGCAAGGAGATGGAAATTTCAAGACTCTAGAATCGGCCTGAATTTTTTCCTTCTAACCACAACAGCTGCTCACCTGCATATCCCGCTTTGTGATGAAACCTTTCCCCTCTTTGTCACACAGCACAAACAGCTCCTTGGCCATGGTCTCTGCCTGCGGGCTTCCTGGCACCGCCTCTCTGCCGCTAGGTGAAGCCAGCGGTCTGCGTCCTCGGCCTGGCATGGGGCTCCCAGCTGGTAGGCCCCGCGGTCTGGGGCTCACTGGTACTGCCTCACCACTGCCTTGAGCCACCAGCACTTCGCCATCATTCAGCCACTTAGACATCACTGCAGAGGAAAACGGGTATGGTGTTGGTGTGTGTTTCATGTATTACTATATACTTGTTGACCTCTTAGTTTGTCATTTGGTATTTACTTATTCACTTTATTTGTCTGGGGGTCATAAGAAGTAGAGCTACAGAGATTTATCAATTAATTGATAAGTCAACAGACCGCAAAATAATCTGCAACAATTTTGATAATCCCTTATTTCAGGTATTTATTCACTAATTTAGTCACCCGAATTAAGTGAAAAAATGCAACCATTTGGTAGTTCCAGCTTCTCAAAAGAGAGGATTTCCTGCTTTTCTTTGTCACATATATTAAATAAAAATAATTGAATGTCTTTGGGTTTTTCTACTTTTGTTCAAACAAAACAAGATTTAAGGTTGTCACCTTAGACTCTGGAAGGTTGTGATGGGCTTTATTTTCACTGTTTTCTGACAAGAATTTGTTCGAATAGATATTGATTGAAAAAATAATTATAGTTGCAGCCCTAATGATAAGTCCTTCAGTATTTCAACAGTCTGAGGCATACTCAGAGACATTCACTTTTACTCTCGATGAACCAGAATTAATTAAAAGACACTCTGGACGTTCTCTCGCTGCAAGCCATTGTGAGAATCTGGCCTTACAGGTCCTCCCTTGTCAAACATGAAGTGCAGAACAAACTTAGCAAGCTGTGACTGCACACTTTATCTACAGCTGCTGTAATCTGGTGTCAGACATGTCTACACTCAATAAGATTTTATAACTGTTTGAGGTATCCAGAATGACAGCATGTTATTTTATAGATTTCTATCCACAAAAATTATTAGCTTCATGCAGCACAACCAGCTGTCCTCGCTATTTATTTAGGTGAGGACAATGTAAATAAATGTGATGCTGCTACTGCATGAATGTGCACCAGGATGTGCAGAGGGTAAAAAACAGGATGGTGTCATGTGAGAAGGGTTACTGTGTACTTGAAGGGGAGGGCAGATAGCCGGGGGAGAGGAGATGCAAATACAACATTTGCAGTTTTTTGCATTGTCAGAAAAACCACAATTGCACAACTAATTTTACTCTTAAGAACTACAGGGGAAAACATGCCTCAGGACCTCCATGAACATCCATAAAACAGTGATTTATGACAGAGCATGACAAGCATCACACATAATCAGTCTTCATGTTAGATGACAGTTCTATTACACAAGAAGAACATATCAGCATAAATCAAATTATCATTTAAATAGAATTAGAAATGTTTCAAAATGCAGAAGAAAGATATGTGTACAGGTCAACAGGCTAAGGAGCACACTGAATTGAAATATTGCCCCTCCATCCTATCTCTTCACTCATGCTATCTAGGGAATTAAACCAATACCTAAAAGTATGACTCATAATGGCTAGTAAAGCATCTTGCTGATGATCTATGAAGCCTTTAAATCTTACTTATAGCATAGGAGATACTCTGGGATCTCAGATAAGAGACTTATATGTTAAGGATCGTGCATGCCAATAAGCCAGCAGTCACGCCAAAGGTCAAATAAATTAACACGCCTAACACACTGTTTAGCAAGGTCGGTGTGCGGTGCAAGATAGAGCTGAAAGTAACTTCACGTAATTACAGCGTTTACAACGTAACGTTATTCCAGGCTACAAAACTGTCAAAAAAGATCTTGCACTTTCTGTGATACATGTCAACTTAAAAGTCCATACTGAGTCCGACTATGTGGGTTAAGAACGTGTTTCTAGAAAGCACTGTACCAGCTCTCATTATAAAACAGCAAGTTAAACTGACAGCATGGAAATGCAGATTAGCGTTTGACTGAAACACAGCTCGTAGCCTACAAACGAAGCAAATGAAATGGCTCATATGCGTCCAATGTTTGTAGCAATGATGCCAGCCGAGGTAACCCAAACCAAGAGAATTAAGTAATGTAACATACATGAATTATTAAAGAAGCAAAGACCCCCGCACAACAGTTTCTCGGTTGTTAATGCAAAGTTAACACAGCAGCGAGAAAGTAAACATAAACGCTGTCTTAAAATTGGTAAATTACTTACATTACTGTATTTTAAATGGATTCAACGAAGTTGTAGACACTTTGACTACTCACCTACTGCGAACTTGACGCAGGTGTGCACTACCTTTGACCACCTCGGGGTAGTTCAGTGAGTTTAGCCGCAGGGTGGCAGTAAGGACCGCGTGCAAGCTACGTATACCGTAATACCCGACGAATTTAATGCTCCCACCTTTCCCACCAAAATGTTATTTGTTTTCACTTCCACACAGCAGCTCATTTTAGTAACATTTAGGAAATAACAGTCACTGCAACCATACCACAACATCTCTTTTTAAAATTTATTTCAAAATGGCTTTATTGGCACGAAAAACGCTTTGATGGTTTTAAATTTGTTTTCTTCTGGTTGTCCTCAGGTTATGGCATGCAAGTGTATTAGCTGCAATTATTTCACATCTTTGTGTTTCACCTTGTAGTTATGGATGTTTCCTATATTATTTTTGGTCTCAAATTCGGGATAGGTTTCATTAATTGGGGGGAAGTAGTTTTCTCTTAGATCTTTGTATTTTTCACATTTGCTGTTTCCTGTGATGTACAAAGTGACCATATCGGCCTGTCTCGATGGCCAGGTTATATTCTCTAAATCTGTACATTGTCGTGGTTTTCCGTAGTTTTTTGTTTTTTTTAATGTTATATACAGTCTATGGTTATGACAAACATTATTTTCTTGTGATTTCCGATAACCTCTAAACCCGTAATTACGGTATTAATGTAGCGTTACCATGGACTTTACGGAAATACATACGTTACCGCTGAAAAGCAGCAGTGGACGCTGCAACTGGGCAGCATTGTTTGGCGATAAAAGGAGGAATGTGAGTTATGTAGTGGTTCTTCTTGGCACCGGGTGACTTATTTTCATTCTTCACACGTTTGTTTCTGGTACGTAGCTGTTGGTTTTTGTGAAGCCTACTTATACAACAGAATCAAACAACGTTATGATGGTTCACATAGCAAACGTGTCTGGAGGGTGTTTCTCTAAATTAAAATCTGAGCTGTGCCAGTGCCATCATAGTGATTTGATGTGGAAAAAAGATTGTGAAACAGTCTGTCGTAACTCTATTACCCGTCTCCCAGATTATCTTCAGACAGGACTAAATAACACTAGGCTACCGTCATAGATGGATTAGATGCGTAAAAGAAAGTAAGAGAGTGTAGGCTATCACCAGAGCAACAAAAGAAGAGATGGTGGTTTCCGCGTAACTGGTAGGTTAAATTAATCTGTAATCCCAGACTTGACCCTTCCACGATCGCCTGTGTAACAGCCTAATCATGTGAAGCTTAATTTACATGTTTGGTTTTACTGCTAATTTAGCTGTCTGCCCCACAGACGACAAGTTACAACCACCGTCGTCTACTGCACCGGAGATGGGTAGAGGGACAATATATGAGTTACTGGGATGTGGGGAAAAAATCGGCGTCTCTGTTGTTTCACAGTTTTTTTGTTCGTCTTCGCAGGACATGCAGCTGACGGGAGACTTTCCACATCAGAGATGTCAACATGCGGAATACGAAAAGATCTCAAACATCTAAACTGAAATGTCGGACTTCCTGCTGCAATCATCACCAAGATACTTTCACCCCTGAGGACAACAAACAGCATATTCCCGAACAAAGGGACAACCCAGAGTGAAGTTCTCCTAAAGCAGTAGAACATTTAAAGGGAAATCACCAGTTAATGACTATGTAGATTGGCAAGTTGTGTGACCTCTGCTGTTTACTTTTATACTTTAGTATGTAGGAGGTGAAGTGAATCTACACCAAACAGACAAATAATTTTGGAAGTCTAAAGAAAAACAGCTAACTTACAGGCAAGGAGGCTGGAGGGACTGTAGACTGAAGCTCGGTGGTTTGCATGATCAGCCCCTGAAGATGCTCCACACTGGTAACTACTCATTGGTGTTGCTGATCCAGCTGACACTGTTGGCCTATGACCTCTTTGTCAACTCCTTCAGTGAACTCCTGAGAGGTGCGCCTGTCATCCAACTAGTGCTATTCATGTAAGTCACTCACTTAACTACATGCTGAAATGATTGTTGATTGTTGGTTATCAAGTAAAACTACCTGACTAAACTAACACTGTTCTGTTTGCATCTTCAAACATGTGCAGACTTGCTTTGTCCTCTTCATATCATTATTGTTTGTCATATAATTATAAATTGTAGTATTTTTATCATTATTCATATTTTATAAATTAATTGACCAACCACTTGATCCAAGAGATTAATCAATAAAGAAATGATAATATTTGTGGCTCTCATTTGAGAGAGATGGACTATATCCACCGGTACATATGTTTAAGGCTGAAAATAGAAGTAAGTAATTGATGATTAATGAACTGATCCCAGCAGTTGCTACAGATTTACATTAATCAGATGCTTATAAGTAATTTTACTTTATTCACAGGAAGTATTTGCACTTAGTTTAGAGGTTACTAAATTTAATCAGTGGTTAGTCTTTATTAAATAGCCAGTCTGTCTAGCAACTGTTAAAAAACAGCACTGTGCCTTCATTGGAGAGAACAAGTCATCTTCTTGATTAAGCAGTTTGGCTTCAACAGTAGAGTTTTAACCATTACAACACAGCCTGGTCAGTGAACGAAGCCAGTGAATGAAACATAATTTTTGTGAGTCGTCGACCCATACAGGGTCTATATAGATTTTTTGAAAAAACTGATAGGTACCCATTTTGCACAGTATCCTTCTCTCGTCACATGTATTTTGCTTACACTCTACTGCGGTTTATCAGCAATAAACCAGTGTAATCTGTGTCTACAGCATCCAGGACATTGCCATCTTGTTCAACGTGATCATCATTCTGCTGATGATGTTCAACACCTACGTGTTCCAGGTCGGCCTGTTGTCCCTGCTGCTGGAGAGATTCAGGGCACTTCTGATATTCTCTGTTCTTTACCTGATCCTCAGCATCTGCTTCCACTGCTGGGTGTTGGTACGCTTTGTCACACCATCACGGACACCTGCATGTCAACTCTGTGCAAACACTAAATCAAAACTGACACATTTTAGAATGTGTATCTTTAGTGACATAGTGATGGAATCAATGTCATCCATGTATAAAATGTCTTATATCAGAGTAAGTGAGCACAATGTTCACTCATACAAACTATACCTGATAAGTATTTCCTTTTTTTCTAGAACCTTAGATGGCTCAAGTCAAACCGTTTTGTTTGGACGGATGGTCTTCAAGCTCTTTTTGTTTTCCAGAGAACAGGTAATTGCAGATTAATTTAGAGTTACGTTTTCCATCCCACAAACTATTTCCTTTGGTCACTGAGTAACTAGACTTCTTTCTGTTAACAGCGGCAGTGTTATATTACTACTTATACAAACGCACAGCAGAGTTTATGGGAGACCCGAGGCTGTATGAGGACTCTCTGTGGCTGCGTGACGCCTTCGCCAGAGCTCGTCAGTGAAGAAGGGACAGCTGCATTATCATCAGCTTACAAATGACCCTTGGAAAGCATTACACTATTAAACGGAACAAAGCAATTAGCTGATGTTGAACACTGATGGAATTCACTAACGGGTCAAGAGAACGAAGGGAAGTCTCAACCACAGTTTCTGTTTACTGGCTCTTTGTAGCCAAGCAGGCAGCCGGCCAAATGGTTTACAGCAACATGTAAGCCAGCCATGGTATGTGTAGTATTGTATTCATCAGGATTGGATCTGTTAATCTATGTGGCCTTTGTAAATCATTTTGAGTCGCAGGCTAAATGAAAGGTAGAAAGGAAAGTTTAGGGAACAACTGTTACAGATGCAGGTATCGCCTCCCATGATCTGTATATAATGTACCATGTAGAACAATATATTGTGATAGTTTTGTTGGAAATGTTGTTATTCCCTGCGAAGATGGAAGTATGTGCTGTTAATGTAATTTTAATAAGCCAATTTTCATGTGAACCCAGTTGTCTTTGGGGATCTTTGAATCGTGTTCCTGCTGTTTTTAATAAATAATCCTTCTCTAATCCAGGTGTAATCCTTCATCACTAGGGTAGTCAGTATTATCCTGGAGACAAGGTGAAACACAGTGCTCTATTTTTAACACAAAGATTAATCAGGGATTGAGGTTTTAGGCGCCAGTAGTGAAACGCACTATAAATAGTCTTCAGTGTGTCAAAATAACCTAATCTCAAGCACCCAACTGGTTAAGTTGCAGTGAATTTAAGATCTCATCTTAATAAAAATGTTAACATTCTTTGTTATATAAAATCTATGGAATTATGAGATCCATGGATTATTGCAAGCATTGATAATACCAGGGTCAACAAAGAAATACACCAAAGGTTGTACAAATCCACTTTACTTGTGAAAAGAAAACCAGAGTCCATATGATCCCAAAATATTGTCAGTGAAGTCCAATTAAATCCAGTTTGTGTTGTGTGTGATGTCCTTGGTTACACTGGAATGTGTCATTCTTCTAAATCAGTCACCCAAAACTGCAGAGTGAGAGGAAACAAAGTTAACCAATACAAAACAGTTTCAGTGATTAAAAATAAAAACTATTAGACAAGTTAGATATTTGATTTTAAACGTACATTCATACGTAGATGCCAACCCAGAGTAGTAAGAACAGCACACCGAAGCCCATGAAAAGGGAAGCTACGAGGGAGATCAGCAGCTCTTTGTAGACGTCCCTGGTGTATTTTGTCGATGTCACCTCATAGCTGACGCAAAGTTAAGGACTAGCTCATAAAAAGTACAACATGCAATTATCCACAGTGCTGGTTTATCAAAATGTATACAGTCATCCTGTTTTCTTGAAATGACATTACATAAAATCAAAGTTGGAAAAATAGTGAAAATTGCATTTTGATTATCAAATGAGTATAATTGAAAAATGTGCCCGTTTAACACAAGTTTTACTTACAAAACTTTTGCAACATCGGAAAATATTACACTTAAATTTCGACTTTGTCTTTGTTCCATTTATGGATTTTGTATGTTTTTTATTTTAATTAATGATTGTGCCATTCAATGGCTTAATTATGTCTATCAGCATGTACTGCATTATGATGTAAAATTATGATAAATAATAATCTCTTTCAACTAAGTACAGCTAACCTGGGAATTTGTTTAAAATATGTGTGAGAATATGACTGCTTGTGTTTCTTCTTGGTGCATGTTTGTCCAGCATTAATGCAAAGCTAACCTCCTTGAAGTGGATGGACTACAACATGTAAAGGCATGGTTATGATCCTTAACTTAATCTTGTACGGTCTTACTGCAGGTTGCTATTCTGCAGTAGCCAGTGGTGAAAGAAGTACTCAGACCATTTACTTAAGTAAAAGTAGCAATTCTACAGTGTAAAATACGAGCTAAAGTCCTGCATTCGAATTTATAAATGTCAAATTTATAAAAGTGTAAATTTGGGCATGGAGTTCAACAGAGCTTCACAGGTTGCCACTGGAGTCCTCTTCCGCTCCTCCATGACGACATCACGGAGCTGGTGGATGTTAGAGACCTTGCGCTCCTCCACCTTCCGTTTGAGGATGCCCCACAGATGCTCGATAGGGTTTAGGTCTGGAGATATGCTTTGCCAGTCCATCACCTTCAATGAACTGTAGCTCCCCAGTATTGGCAGCACTTATCCAGCCCCATCACTAATTATAATCCAGTAATATATACTGGATTATAATTAGTGATACTTTAATGTGTAAGCATCACTAATGTTACAGCTGGTAAAGGTTGGGCTATTTGCAGCTACTTTATATAATGCCAGGTAGCTTGATCCAAAATTATACATAATAATTTATTATTTGAGTTATATTTTGTATTAATAAACAGAATCTGCAAAGCAACTAATGCTGTCAAATAAATAAAAAGTACAACATAGGCTTCCAAGATGTAGTGGAGTAGAAGTATAGTACCTCAAAAATGCACCTGACATGTAAAAGTTAGTACTTAATTAAATGTACGTAGTTACATTTTACCATTGGCTATAGCCTCATGGTCTCTGGTATGACCCCTTCATATTAACCACATATACAGATTGCTGTGTATGTAGAACAAGAAGTAAAAGGATACACGAAGAACCAGGCAGTGAAGAACATGCCGATGGCCAGCAGCACTACAGTGAGGTGGGGGAACACAGCCGGGTTCACCGGGCTGGTGTATCTGGTCATTGCCTCGAGTTCCTGCACAACACAGAGACAAGCAGGTTAGACAAACCACATCACCTCCACGACTCCAGCTTTACTTCCAACTATAATGTACCGAGTCTAGCGTACAGCATTTGATTAGTGTTACAGAACCATCTGATTTTGTCATAACAGAGCAGCTAAATCAGTGAATATGACAGGAGAAGCTAATGTTCCTGTGCTATCTGCATATCCAACGTTTTCGCCAGACAAAGCAGAATTTCACATAGAAAGCGCATTGCTTTGCTGATGAAATTGCGAGTGACGTGTACAGACACACCACATAACATCAGATAATAGAGTTTAAATTATATAAACAAGATAAAGAAGCGTAATTCTACCATTTTGTATGAAGCAAGCTGCTGTTGTATGGTCCAAGATGAAAAGGCCACGTACTGACTATCGCTTCCTGGTGTTTTCGTGACGTACAGTTGACGTTCTTACGTCGGCCATTTGAACCCTCAGTTTAGTCTTTTAGGCTGTCATCCAGGCTTTTTCTCCTGGTTTGGTGATTTTCTAACGCACAAACTGCACGCTACATTAATACATCTAAACCCTCCCAGTGTCTTTTCGTAATCATATGCTTTTTAAAGCTTGTTTGGCGGTGGTGAGCAATACGCTACCCGAGAAGCCAGATTCAGGGCGTTAATTTATCCATATCGCACTAACCCTAACGGCTGTTAATAAATCTTCGGCTGCCATCTAATGGACAGAATGACAATTTTGTTTTCTGATCATATTGGGATCAGATCATTTATATCATATGATAAAGCAGTTGGATAATCAAACACAACAGAAAATCCAATCACAAATTTATTTCTACGCATTCATAGTATTACAGCATATTTTGGACAAAACGCTTTTTTGAAAATGTCATAATAAATGGGCTAAAAAGATGAAGTAGTGATATTAAAGTACTCATCGAGTTTTACCGTTATGGCATCTTCTTCTAACAAAAAAATTAGAAATGTATTTGTTTGTGTTTACATGCTTATCAATCATTTCTGGGCTCTGTTAGCTAAAAGTTAATATATTATTGATAACACAGTACAACCAAAAAACATCAACTATAAAAAAAAATATAATAAAACACAGCAGATAAAAAGGAGCATTGGTAGTAACAAAATGCAGCTATACAGTTACATGTAATGCAGTTCTACATAGTAGTATATGAAAACAGTCTGGTGCACTGGATAGGGCAGAGGCAGTACATATATACAGTGCAAAAGTGCTACAGTGGTTTTATTATGCTAGCTGGTGCATTATAAATAAGCTAAAATAGTAGGATACACTATACCACTGGAGTCATAATAATTATACTAAAAGTATTGTACAGTGTCTTATTATGATAACTTCATATGATGGCTCTTTTTCCTATTTAATATTGATTTTACATTTGAGATACACTATTGGGGTTTTTCTTTCTGAATACAGAAACATATGGAGTATGGATTTAAAAACACATTTCAACACAAGCAACAAAAGCATGGTGGTGAAAGTAAGTGGAGAATGCATTTAAAAGAAGAAAGAATAATAGAAAAGAAAACACTATATAATTCAGTTGTATTTAAAGTGTTATCACTGCATATTCTCAGTTGTATAGGCACAGAAAAATATTTAAACATCCAGAAAAATACATGAAAGAGTCCAGTGTTTAATGTCCATTTGTATCTCAAGAGTGTGCGCAAACTAAATGCAACTTCTTCTCAGCTTCATGATCAAGCCATTAAAATCGAATTTCCAAAGCTGCAGCAGCAGTTGTGTTGCCTCTGAGCTGAGATGTATAATTTTTAAGAAATGATTGGGCATGCACCTGAAATGATATGCCATTTACTGCCTTACCAGCATCTGTCCAGTTAGCAAAATACAGTGTAAGCTATTCCAGTGTTTCTTAAAATACTGTCAGTGTTGGACTTCCTCTATCACACTGTGTCAGTGTTTCTACATGTTCATTTCCAGTCATTTGTTTACTTATCCAGTCTTATCGCATGCCATCCAATGAATCTTCTGAAGTGAGGATGACTCAGTGGTCTTCAAATGTAGGCCTTCCTTTGAGCAATGATAATAAGGATTTCTCTGTAATAGTATGCATGTGCACAAATATTTAATGTAACAATTTGATGTTTCTTTCATTGCCACAATAGAGATATAAATACTGTGCAGTATTTCCCTCTCTGTACAGTGTTTAATCAGATACTGCTTGCGGAGACAGCAGACAGTCTAGTCAACTGCAGCAGCCTCAAACACAATGCTCCACTGTAGAGACCTAGGATTTGCCAGTGTGCACTACTGAGGTATATTTTCAGTGCAAGTTGCAACTATTCACTGAGGCCTTCAGCAGAAGCCAATGATCTTCTCTCCAGTGTATATATAATCTACTGAAAAGTGTTCTTGTTTTCAGTTGACACTGGTTTCAGTGTACATAAAGATTCATCGTGTTAAAAGAAAGAACAAAAATGTGAGTAGTGTCATCTACACTATCTTAGCCTGGACTTCATTAAGAAACCTTAACTCTGCTAAAAGTACTTATGGCTTACATTAAGTTTGGAAGACATAGTGATCAGTAAATAAGTGAGCTATAAACGGATGGACGTTACTTACACAAAAGCAGTTAACAGTGACACAACACAGTTGTCAATTACAGTGATCTAAAACATTTTCAGTGACACACAAAAAAAAAACTTGAACAGTGTTTCAAACTCCAGTGATCACAGCAAAAAGAGATGTCTTAATGCATATGGAGGGGGGATTACAGTAGGGACAGTGGTATATAGTTTGTTCTGTATGAATATCTTTAAAAATAATGTACAACAATGAGAAGAATCCTTATCCCTTCACAACAGCGTACAAATGGAACCACAAAGGAAAAATGTGGTATACTGAAAAGGCCCTGGGACACATCGTCTTCCTTCTCACACACAGCTGCTTTGAATGAGAAAATGGTATTCAGAGTGTGATGAGGTCTCTCCTTCAGTGGCACAACTCACTTCACTCTGTCAATGAAAAGCATGTGGAGATAAAAATCACTTATCAGTCATTGACTTACACAATAAATGGATCAAACCACACAGGAACCATGCAGCGTTTAAAGGTGCCTCATAATTTGGAGGCCAAGTTTACTCACAGACAGGGAGACACGGAAGTGATAGGTGACGTCTTGGAAAGACAGCACGGGCACTGACCACAGGTGATGAGTCCCCTTAGAGAAGGGACATGATGAGTGAGTGAGCAAGTATTTTGCAGTAAGTCGCCCTTGGGGAAGTTTGACATACTTGCAGTGGTACAAAATGACAATAGAAAGAAAATGTGTTTTGATTATATGATGGATCATGATGAAGTACACCATTATGTACCTTTGTTGATGTACTCTGTCCACCATAGAGCTCTGTCTCTGTGTGGTTGGGGCATAAACGTCCCTTGGTGGCTCCACACTGTCGTATCCACACGCTGTTCGTGGACCTGCAAATTAATTAAATATGCTTTATGTCTCTGTGACCTAATAAGTCTCCTACTAAGTCTTATGTGTAGTAGATACATTAGAATTAGTTTTTTAGTTTAATGGGTAATGCTTTATTTATGGATCTATTATAGCCTAACGAATTCCTAATAATTTCATTATTAAACAAACATTAAATGGAAATAATGTAATTTAGAACTTATTATAGGGAAATAGAGATAATTGTTGTTTTTAATAGCAGCATTTAATAGCAGTTGTTGATTTTCAGTGGAATTCCCTTGAACAACTGCTTCACTTAAACCCAAGGTGAATTTGATTAATCAGTAATTTATTATTAACTGTTTTGGTTTGTCTATGAAAAAATGCAAATTTTTGCATGTTCCGCTGACTTGTTGTGCACTGCCTACAACACTACTGGTTAAGCTCAGCTAAGTGAAGATAAGATAAGAAACGTTTTTATCCATTACATTACATAAAATGGAAATTTGCCTTTGGCGTTCTGGCAACAGAAACAGACAGTAAAGGGCAACTGAAATACATAAAATACATTTTCAGCATCAGCAGTGCTCATGGGGATGTGTGTGTGTGTGTGTGTGTGTGTGTGTGTTGGGGTGGGATTTTGGGGGGGTAGGATATGTTTGTGTTTAGAATGGCCACAGCAGAGGGCACAAATGACTTCTTTTACCCATTTTTCCAGGGTAGGGGGCCTTCAGTCTCTTGCCAGAGGGCAACAGCTGGAATGATAAGTGGATGGGGTGGGTGGGGACCTGGGTTTTGGTTATGGACCGGTTGCATAGGTTCTGGATTTGCAATTGTTTGATGATCTTGCTGGCCTGGTTGACCACCTGGGTTTGCTTGTTTCTGTGTCTAACTGAGATATTCCCAAACCATCATCAAAACACCAGGAAACAATTTTTTAAGTGAGGACACTCTCAGTGAGTGACCGGTAGACTAAGCTACCGTAACAATGAATTGGAATTAATGAATTGGAAGTGGAACCAAATTACATGTTTCTTAACAGGAAACCTACTAGGGAAGTAACTAATTTGCTGTTACAGTTTAATATTTGTATACTCACGTCATGTGCAAAGTGATTTGTGAGATGGAAGAATTTCTCTTTCCATGGAGTGATACTGTGTAGCTAGAGTCAACATAGAGAAAAATAGTATCAGCATCAAGCATTAAGAGTTGAATTCAAACTGGTATTTTCTAAGACGCAAACATACAGATGAGTGACAAATTAAAGGAAAAAAACTGAATAAACTAGTGGAGAAACAAATTCAGATGCTTCCATATAGGACATGACGTGTCTTCTTGAATGTGATTCAAATGCCATGGCCTTCACAGTCACCAGCTCTCAACTGACTTAACACTTTTAGGAGACTTTGGACCAACTAGTCATACAACACTCTTCACCACCTTCATCAAAACACCAAATTAGGGAATATCTTTTGGAAAACATAGTTTCAGAGACTGGGATTTTTTGCCAAGCAGCATTGAAGCTGCTCTAGCTGCTTGTAGTGGACTCATCGTTTACAAGGACACTTCTTGCTTTTAAGTGTATACCTGCAGCTCTTAGTTGTTGCACAACTTTGTGCTGTGATCTCTTGGTTTGTCTCCACGATATGTAGACTAGACAGAGAGGGAGCTGATCTTCCTCCTGCAAAAGTAAGAAAAGCTGCATCATTAGCACTATATCCATAGCATTCCATTGTACAGTGTGTGGATAAGCTTTGTTTGCTGTCGCCAAACACATGGCTTTACTGTGTTTGCATATTATGTGTGTGAAGAAAGTGGCATGTCTGGGCTGTGTTTGTAGATTTACCCTTTGTGTGTAGGCTGCGTTGTCTGCGTGATACTGGCTGCTGACCCCCTGGCAGACGGTTGGTAGTTCCTGCTCCTTCTGGATCTGTAGGTGCTGGCCTTTTGGACTTGGCAAAGTACAAAGGGGCCGAGGTGTGACTCAGACGGTTTTTATTACGGCCGTCCTTGTCCATTAGTCTGGATTTGGCCTTTT